ATTATCCCAGATATTTCCTTGATCTTCTCTTTGTTTTCTTTCTTCACAATTTCCCAAACATTTTTGTAAGTTTGGTCATGCATCCAAAATTAGCGTAAGATTTAGGGATCAGTGGCAGTGAAAGTCCTTGCATCTGGAACAACACATTATATGAATGCCTCGCTATATTTGAGTTTTACCCAAAATTGTAATAACCTGAAAAAAAATTGCAATGATTCTTCATTGCACCCTTGCGACTGCAAAATCTGTTAGTGAGAGTCCGATTTGATATCATGCACATACCGTTCTTTTGTGTTTCACATACACAAAAACAAGAAATATCAATTATAAATGTAGAGGAAGGATATTTTTTCTTATTTTTAATTGAGAACTTGGTGAAAAATTCCAGTGAACCAGTTAGCTAGTTAGATTTTCGTACACCCGGCAATAATAATAATAAATAAAAAAGCAGCAAAAAGGAGAAAAGCTTAAGTGACTTAGGAATTGGTCTTTATTAATCTCAAAGGGATTTATAATGTATTAACTAATACAGTGAAGGAAAGAACAAGCTGTTGACAGGGAACATACTGAAAAACTGATGATTGTTTCAAAGTGAAAGCCACATTAACACAGCAGTGAATTGGCACACTTCATTTACTATGAACAGAGCTCGTGTGTTGGACAGGTCATGTGGGGGAACTGGAGGCATATAAGGGGCAGAAGGCAGGCCTGGGTAAAACCACCATAGTGAATATTACTGCTTTCACAACATGCAAAAAAATTAAAATTAAAAAATCAACAGTATGACGTAGTCAGGTCTGAATTAAAAAAAAAAAAATCAAGACAAGTTACAGAATGACTGTAGCTGAGAAAAAATATTTTAATCAATGTAAAACGTTTATTATTTTGTAAATAATGTGTTTTTGTGCAGGACCCATGTCAGTGTAAAACAATTATCTTCATGTGTACCAGTTTCTCACTGAGCATTTAAAGTTGCCACCATGATAACCGTTGTAAACTCAAACATTTTAACATGTATGACTCCATCTAGTGGTGAACAAGGAAAACTGCTGATTTGAGTTATAAAAAAAAAAAGAAGAAGAAGAAGAAATGAAGGTGGAAAATTATTTTATTATCAAAATATTCCAGGAAAGAATTAGGCTTCACAATATCCTTGCTCAAATATTTCTGCAATAAACAGATTACAGGCTGGTGAAGCACCTAGTCAAATGACAATAACTTAATTATTATCAATCACCTATTAACTGCTTTTGAGCTTGAAGAAAGAGCTACATTTGGAAAAACACTTTAACGTTTTGTCAGAAAAACAGACCTAAAGTTCTCAAAACCAAGGGGCCCTTAAGACGCAGCCCATTAAAAATATTCTGCAAGTTTACTGATTGTATGTATCATGTATCATGAAAAGCCTTGGCAAAAAGGCTTTTCATCTCAATAAGTTATTTTCCTTGTTAAAATAAAGTATACTTACACACAATATGCACTCATTCCTACTGTTTGACTTGTTTAATAAAACAATGAAAAATGTCTTTGATGTTTTAGATTTTTCTGTGCTTCTACAGCAAACATTTGATGGCATCATCATGAGAGTAAGGTACAAAATTAATTGCTAAAGAAGCCGGTGGTTTAGAGTGGTTTACCCAAATAAATGAATGGAAAGTTGAGTGGAAGAAAAACTGTGGTCGAAAAAGCAACAGCTACAATTGCAGCCTTGAGGGGACTGTGAAACCAAGCACATTCCAGAGTTTTCTTGGATATTAACAGGACAAGACTTAGAACTGGAGCCTGTGTTTCAAAACTTACCACACTGAGGCTTATCCAGGACTAAAACGATTGCATTCCTTGTGCTAAGACCCTACTGACCCCTGACCTTCACTTTGAAAATGTATGGAGGAAGAAGAAGATGCCAAGCAACGGGCCTGACAATGCAGACAAAGATAAGGCTTCTATCAAAGCCACCTGTGCTTTATTGACACCTCAAAAGAGCCACAAGACAGGAACAAATACTTTGTACATAAAGTAAATAAATATCTGAAGGCCATCCTTTGTATTTTAAACTGTTTTAATGGACATATATAATCTTCTGAAACACTCAATTTTAGGTGTCAATTATCTTTAAACCATAATCATCAAAATTAACAGAAATAAACACATCAAATGCATCATTCTGTGTGATAAATCTGGAATTGAATTACTGAAATAAAAGTATTTTTTAATGGCCTTTCTGATTCACTGAGATGTGACTGCAGATGGTCTAAAAGGCTTGTGTTGTTTAAGGCAGTGGGGTGGGAGTAAAGTTATTGTTTTATGTAGACTTGTGCGCTCCTCATCCATAAGAGTGAGCAAGGAGTCGACAGAGTGAAGAGGTGTGATTCAAAGTTTATAATAAACTTTATTACATAAATTCATTGTGAGCACTCTGCTTTATTTCGCACACCCATCAAACAAAAGAAAAAATAGACAATGAGTCTGCAAAAACTATAAATTTGTGCAACATGAATTGCTTAGCTACCACTGGATTTTATTCATCAGGATAAAACTACCGACATTTTCCCTTGCAACTTTATTTTAGAATTGGTGAGACATTTTATAAAAGTCCAGCAACTGAAAGTGTTTAACGATTATGAAAAAAATAATCTCTTTAAAAGGATTTTTATTTAATTAAACCAATCAAAGTCAGTGGTTTTGTGTTTATTTACATATTTTCAGGTGTACAGAAAACCATGATACAAATGCACTTTAATCCCATAGACATTTCTGAACTAGCAGGTGAAATCACAGAGCAAATTTCTTCATCAGAGTTTTAATTCCACTCTAGTAGCAATATCACAAGTGGTACAGGTTAAATTTAGAAAAGTAAGATTGAAGCAGATATATTCTTTTTATATATCTTGAAAATATTACATTTCTTTATAAAAGGTGGCATTCTTTGCAAATACAATAAGATTAAAGACAGAAGAACAGCTATATCAAATGATTGTATCGTTACTGCATAGTTCACTTGTCTTTATAATGACTTACTTAAATCACTCAGGAAAAGGTGATGCGAAAACACCAAATTCCTTCAAGAGACCATCACCAGTTGTCATTTGTTCAGATATGCTGCATACATATTTCATACAAGGATATTGTATCTTACTCGTCAAAGTGTCGTTCAATATAACCTTCTATCAACGTTCAAAATAAATACTTCAACATTCTGAAACACACTTTCTTTAATGTATTTAATTTCTTTGGCAGATTTGCAGGACCATGGATAGTTAAAGCAGGTTCAAAGACACAGACAAAGCAAGAAGTGAAAAAAGGAAGTGGAAATTAACAATAAAACAGAAGCAGAACCATTTCACTAAAATGACTACTTTTTCTAACAACGATTTGTTTACCTTTTATGATATGATCAAATGGGTTAAACAATCTAAAACTATGTTCTGGGCTAAGTATGATGATGGATCATATGTTAAAAATGGATCTGATCTGAGTCTGTCATATAAAATATATTTAGTGTTTAAAGAAAGAAGAATAAGCTTCAAGACAAACAAGGAATCTTTTAATAAAAGCTGTAGACACAATGTTTCTTATCCTACAATGTATATTAACGAACGTGTTTTAGTTGGATCTATCCACAAGGAAACAAAGGTTCTCTTGTTGAATTTTGTAAGGATTTCTCTGCCTTACCGTGACAGGATAGTGTACTTTATTCTGGTCATGATACCACCATCTTGTTTTTCATTTGTTCCATATTTTTCCTATGGCCTAATTTGGACAGTGATCAGATTCAGTATCAAATGCACATGAAACTCATTTTGGAGTATTATTCAACTGAAACTTACAAGCGATACGCAGTAGAATGACGAGGTATTAGAAAAGTCCATCTGCTTTGAAAACTGACTGAAAACAGGAAATCCATAGAGATGCAAAACCATGAGAGATAAACTTTCACATGTCCAGCTCTCATTCCAGGATCATTTCCTTTTACTTCTTTAGTATCACTAGACTTTTTTTCCAATCTTAGTAATCTCCTCACATAGACACGTAACACCCCAGAGATGTACAAATAGAGCAGCATACAACCACTAACACCCACAGATCCACACACACACACACAGACACACACACACACACAGACACACCGATACACACACATAGTCTACTGGACATTCAGGGTGCGAGCGGACACTCCATGGTGCCAGTTTCTCAGCTCGTTGTACTTGGGTCCAACTACAAGTCGAGTGGTATTCTTGTTCACTCTGTGCCGCCCAGAACCCAGCAGGAAAAGGGAGGAAAAAATAAGGAGAGAGAAGAGCAACAGAAGAAACATAAAAGAAGAACTTGAATAAATGGCAATAATCATTCTCAACAAAACTACAAGGAAATGGATTAAGGTCCATGCCAGAAAGAAAGCACAATGCCAGCAGCTGATGATGGTCAAAAAGCATTCAGATGGAAAATCTTCACTTTCATTATGGGAATAAATAATGCCCAAACACACAAATAACAACAAATATATTATGATTAATGCCACACACCAGCACAGACAATTGAAAGCAACGGCTTAAGTAATTTATCACACAAACCAACAAGAGCACAGAGGGTCAAGAGGTCACGCCACACAACAACACAACTGTGGCAGAGTCATGATTCTCAACCACACAGTCACGAGTTGCATAACATGCAGCACAGCAAGACTGTCGGATTCACATTTCAACAATACTGATATGCACATTCATTACAAATTGGTGTAAAATCAATATTGAGCAACATGAAATAAGCGTTTGAAATGTCACACCTTGGCTTTATTGGAAATCTTCACAGCATGAAGATTTGGCTTTTGCCTAACATTTTAGGCTGATTGCACATATTGTGTCATAAAGAGTTGGTATAAGTCTTTTGGTTCACTTCATATATGGAGATTTTATACTAAACATTCAAATAAGCAAGTTGAATGACAACAAAGCAACCACAGAAAACAACTACATTGAAACTCTTTTTGTAGATGCACTTACATTGTCTTCTTTGATGCATCAGCTTCTTCATTTTGAACTAGAAGGAAAGTTATTGAAATCAAATGAATATCTTCCAAAATGCACTGTAAAGGTGATTAATTTTGCCACATTCAGATATGTGTAGTAATAGTTTATTCAACAACAACAACAAAAAAAATGCATAAAACGGTTAGTTTCCAATTCTGTCGTACCGTTCTCCGTGCCTGTGATCTGAGCCAGAATCCTGAAAGATCGGGACTGGGTGGTGCCCGTGCGTGGACGCCAGTCCTCTGTGTCCTCCATTATGCGCTTTCTGCTGGCATCAGCGTGAGAAGGCACATGGTAAAAATGGATGTCTGTGTCCACAACATGTTTCCTGGGAATACTGAGAAAAGACAGACGAATGAGGGAACGATCAGATCAGAAAGTACCTTTAAAAGCTAATTTATCTTTTCATTCTTCTGCCATTCATGGTGGTGGTTACTTCACATTTTTACCAGTACATATTGAGTTTCATGGGATGAAATAAGTTTGTTAGATGACTAGGTGAGATGGAACTGCTTCACACAGTAGTGCTAATTAGAATGTGAAAAGGGCCACGCCACACTTTGTTAAATGGACTTGGAGTACTTTTTAAACCAGCATGATACCTTGGAGGCAGATGCAGAGGTTTTCTTGGGAATCAAGGAGAAGAACAAGGAAATATAGAGTCCAAATAAAGGAAAGGGACTATAAAACAGCAGCCTTTCATATCTTTTATAAAAATAACAAAACAAAACAAAACAAAACAAAAAAACTGAATTGTGTTGACTTACTTTAAAGTATTTTGAGGTCCACTAATGGAGCATCAAAAAAAAGGACAAAGCAATAGAAAGTCATTAATTTCTGGGCAAGTATTTGATGGAAATGTGTTCATATAAAACATAGAGAAAAAGAAAATGACCGTGTGGAGTAAAAATAGCAATATGAGCACAACACAACAGCAGAACATTATGTTCTCTAAACCTGCAATATTTAAGTTTCATTTTCAACCACATGGTGGTGCTTTTACAGTGTATAAGTCCGTATGGGTAGAAGTTCAGTCATCTTTAATCAAATGTTATAAAGACATGCTGTTTTTCACTTTTGGTGGTGCAAAGCAAACTGAAACTATAACAGTGTTCAGTTTGTTTGCATGTGTGCATGTACAGTAATGATAAAGTATTGCTTGGCAGCAAGCTGCTGAAATGTCTGTCAGAGTCAGTAAATCAACTCCCAGGAGAAACCAACACATTGATACACACTGAGTGTGTCTCAATCAATCATCTATAAATACACCATCTCTTACTATCTTTCCCAGCACTCTGAATAGTCTGATTTATGAGTGTCAATAAAACACATTCTGTTTATGTGATGTGGATACTGAAATGTATTACTGCAGGAAGGTTGGTAATGCCGCGTACGTAGGCTATCTGCTAAAGATTCACACTGTTTGATCAAGTGCAGATTCTGCAGTAAGTAGCCCGAATATTTAATTGAACACACATCCATTGTGATGAAGAATTATTTATGTGCACAACTATTGGCTAAAATATGTTGTAATTGAAAACTCTGCACTCCTGTGAAATAAAATGTGTATTTTACAAGTGCAAAATACAATTTAATGTCAGTTTTTTTTTTCCCCAGAAACTGACTGAATGGTGACTATTTCAACTGGCTAATCAAACAATAGCTTGCTTCAAGAAAATACCAGCTAAACAGCTTATCTATCTTTGAAGAGATTTGTGTTATTTTCTTAGATGCATGTGAGAAATTCAGAACCAATCTTAAACAGACTGTAAAGCAGAGAATGTGTCAAATGTTAAACACACCCAACCAGTATGATCTAATTTCCAATGTATGAGCATCGAGAGGTATTAGCATTTTTTTAAGAAGTTGCTTAAAATGTCAATGCTGGTCTGAAAAATTTCGAAGTCGGTTTCCACTGGGAAACTGGAAATATAAATAGTACTTTGGGGACTTTCAATGTCCCCTTATTTGGTGTCGAATTATAGAAAAACTAATAACTTATTAGTTTCTGTCTGGAACATAGATCTTTGGACACAATATTAATTACACTACACTGAATCTATCATTATTCTGTAGCTGACCACACACTAGATACATAATAACCACGTTTTGTTGTTGTTGTTGGAAAAGATTTCAGAAATACAAAACATTTGTGATCAGAATTATTCACTATTTAGTTTAGACTCAGTGAAAAAAGGTTTGTTGTTCACAAACTGCCCAAAAACTGAATCACAAATACAAACACAAACCCTACAAATAATGATGAGACGAAGAAAGCGACGTCAGTAAGTCAAGAAAGTGGGCAAAGACAGTGAGAAATACAAGTATCAGCTAAAAAAAAAACACCAGAGCAAACACTCAACATGCTTCAGACACTAACTTTTTGACTGGACGAGACGTATTCTGGAAAGCAGAAAAATAAAGGATGAAATAAAGAGAAGACAGAGAGCATAGATTATATACTTGTGAACAAGTCTATCAACATAGAAATTGAAACGCTTTGCTCATGACTCCCTTCTGAAACAAATCACACAACATGCACAAGAGGAAAGCATGCAGCCCCTAAACACTAGCTTGTTTACATAATCCCAGCAACGAAATAGAAAAGGTGTAATCTGCAAACAAAGTAGAGTGAAGTCTCTGTGATTAAACAGGCATATTATGGAAAATTATTTCATGAATAATGTTTGAAATATGAAGGCCATTTAGAGAAAACATATTAAGCACATGACTGGGTAAACTGGGTTGCAGGGTCGCACTCTCTCTCTCTCTCTCTCTCTCTCTCTCTCTCTCTTTCTCTCTCTCTCCCTCTCTCTCTTTTCTCTCTCTCTCTTTTTCTCTCTCTCTCTGTCTGTATGGGTATTTGGTGTGGGCTTGTTCACAGTACTTTGTGCAAATAATTTGTGTTTTCAGACTGTCAGAGAAAGAGAAACCACTAACAATTTTCAAAAGTGCCTAGAAAACACAGAAATCTTACAGCAAAGTGTGGTAATCCTAAAACTTAATGGGAAAGTAAAAATTAAACATATCCTAGAAATCTAAAATGTGTTTATTGTCTGATCAGAGAAACTAAAATGATAGTAACAAACTAAACATACCGAAATGGCAGATGTGGGTACATGAAGAGTGATAGGAGGCGGTTTTGCTGTATTTGAGGTCTCTGACGTGTCAAGATGAATGCTGAGGTTGCATCCTTCTCCTCTTAATTATTTAAACAGCATGCTTAGAGCATGCTCAACGAAAAGGTGGCAGGATGTAGAGCCATTTCTCACTATGTCCCTCAAAATCACATTGTCAGAATTAAAGTTTTATTTATATGCCTAAAGGTTAATATTTTAGCTTGAAGTCATTCAGAGGAAAAGTGGAGAAATTCTGTGATACAGTTAGGGAAGAAACTAAGTGGCAGGTTCTAAGACTCTCAAGGAGAAAGATAAAAAAAACAAAAAAAAAACAGGATACCAATAATGGATTAATTAATCTGATTAGTCTGCCACTCACCCATTAAACTGTGGTAAGGCTCCTCCCTGACTCTCCAACAGGCCCCGCCTTTGCCCCATGGCCACCTCACACGCATTTTCAGTTGAGTAGAGGTTGATCGGTGTGTTATACACTGATGGCTGAGGCGCAACCAGGACAGGGTGGGAGGAGGAAGAGGATGCAGAGGACGGGTAAGAGATCAAAGGAGGAGAAGGGAAACCTGGAGGAAGAGGAGGAGGAGGGGCAGGACCAATGTGGGATGAGGCAGGAGTGAAGGCAGAGGATGGGGAAGGGATGAAGGTGGTGAAAGGTGACTGTGAAGGAGAGTATACACCCTCAGAGCTGCAGCCCCCATAAGGTCTGGGGGTTTTGTTGTGAGGGGCAGAGCACTGAGACTGGGGATGTTGTGAAACAGAGGGATGGCTGATGGCTACTGGTTTTATGAGGTCTGTTCGGTTGTCCTATCAATATGACAAAAGAACATGCAAATACACACAACAATGAATTAAATCAAAGCATAAAACACGGATGCCTCCCATATATGCGTTTGCGTCCGATAAAAACAAATGAATGATGTACTTTTTAAAATAATGGAGTCGTTTCTACAGGCTGTGTGATCAGCCTAGGTTCTAGGAAAGCATCAGTGTTTTATCAAACAGTTCAATGTAAATAAGTGAGGACATGCAACAAAAATGATGTACGGCATTGTTTCAGAAGGGTGTGATGCTCTTGAAGACAAGTTCAAGGCACTATGTTCTAATCAGTTTTCACCTAAATAACATCTATGTAAATTGCACAATGTGTGACTTTTTAAAGAATCGTCATATTTGACAACTGTATTTTTGTAGAACAGGTTTTGACTTATTTCATGAAAACAATTTTACATTACCTTTGGTGCCACTGGAGGGGGCTTAGAAACACTGGACCTGTAAAGGAAGTGAAAAGAAGAAGAAAAAAAGATGAAATTATTATCATTGTCCACCACGTTATTTTTCATATCAAAATACGCCTTAAAAGGTTTTTCTGCTTGGGTAAAATTACAAAAGTGCTTCCAGAGAATTTACTGATATTGATGGAAACTAGACTGTCAAAGTTTCAAACGTTATTGAGGGATTAAAAAAAAAAAAAAAAAAAGGCAGTCACGGTGAATTACAACTGAACCTGAGCTGTGAGCATTAAAACCAATGTGAAAAAAATTCTGTCATCAGCTCTGACAGAATCCAAATGGCTCTGGCTGCGTCTGCATGTCAAAGAGTGAAACATGAGTTGCATGAGTGGAGAAATGTGGCATTGCTCAAAGTTTTTTGAAAACAGCTGTTTTCATTCAACAAAGGTCTGTATCAATCCGATACTCTTTGTGTTCATACCGTAAATGCCTGTTTGTCCTAAAAAAAAAACTTTTTTTAGGTACTTTCTTACCCTCATACTCTTCATTGACTTACAAATCACAAAATGATTTAGTACGCTATCCTAACATTTAAATCATATGTCATCTGTTGAAATGAACCTTTGTTTAAACATACCCTATGCTATAATATGCTGAAACAGACAACAGCAGTCAGGACTAGATTCAAACATCAGTGGTAATATGTGTACATTTGCAAAATAAATATGGCTTATGAATAACTTTTCACAACTTGCAGTAAAGAGGAAAAATTGTTTCCATAAATTCAAAGGCTAAGTAAACCAAACTGTAACTGAAGACACACAAACGTCAGCTGCCTTGCATTTCTTTCAGAGCAACCCCCCCCCCTGGACTCCTTCTCAGGGAGCTCCGTGTCCTTCAGCTCTGAAAACGAACCAGCCCTCTGCCTGTGCTTAAGACGACATTAGTCCACAGATAGAGATAGTTGGTTTGGCCTTTTCTGTTCGACTCCTGTTTCCCACTGGTTTGCCAACGATGCACTGATACTGTGACTATGTTTTTGAAATGGTGTTTTTAAGGAGCTGCACTTCTGGGAAAATTGTGTGTGATGCAAGTTTTATTAACGTCACTATTTGCAGCAAAAGCTACTTTCTTTATCAGTAAAGGGTAATAATTAAAAAGTGTTGATGAAGGAACATTGATTTCCACCTTCTCTATATAATCCATATATTTTAAGAGACATTTGGTATTGTGATTTACCTTGCAAATACAGTCACATCCCTAAATCTTTTTTTTTTTTTTTTTTCATTATAACTATCAATTTAGCTGCAATTTACAAATTTACAGACTACAGACATCCGTGAACATAAACAGTAAATCTATCCATGGATTCTCAATTGGCTTTAGGTCTGGACTCCGACTGGAATATTCCAACACAAAAAACATTATTTGATCTAAACTGTTGCGTTGCAGCTCTGGTTGTATGGTTTGCCTGACTCTTTGCCACCTCTAACAGGTTTTCAATTTTGGGATGGCAGCCTAAAAGACACTGAACAAATAGGCACACAACTTTTCATTGAAAAGTATGTGTCCCTTTCTTTCCACTTTACATGTATGCACCATTTTATTTAGCTCTATCAAATAAAATCCTAATAAAACACACTGAAGTTTGTTGTTGAGACAACATTAAGTAAATGGGGTGAGAATGCATTACTTTGACAATGTATTAATGTATCCCATAAAGGCTCGGCCAAAAGCAGAATAATGCGAAGCTTAAAATACATTGCTGACTGACAGAGCACACCCTATATTTCATACGGCCTCACTCAGACTGCGTCACCTTCATCCCTGCAAGTTTCCATGGACACACGATTCTGTAAATAGTCTACCTAGTACTCGGTTTATCTGTGGACAGCCTTCACTTGCACAAGTTGTGGGATGAAAATATATCTGGCACATGAGGTATGAAGGGGAAGCCTGGGGTATCAAGTAGGGATTATAAATATGACTCTGTCACCCCAGTGAGCATCTATAACAGGAAAACAGCAGCATGGAAATATGTTGCTGTCATACACCAGAGTGGAAGAGGTATTCAAGTCAGAGTCTAATGTTATCACAAAGGCTTTTCCTTGCTTTTGAGAATTTGTATCAAATGTCTTTTTTTTTTATGTAAAAAAACTCAGTTTTCCACAGTGATATTCTCATGACCTTCGGTGTCAATTTAAGTATTGAGTTTCATAAATATTTTCTGATTAGAGGCGACACTACACAAAAACAAACTGAGTTTGAAATTTTACTACATAAGAAACTTTACCCAAGTAATCTGTCCTTTGGAGAGCTTTGGGATGTTTTTAGATAATGCCGATTACTGTTTTCATTTTGATCTGACCTGCCAGATTTAATTCTGACAACTTGGGTTTTTCTCCTCCTTTATTTCTAGAGAGAAAGATATAAGCAACCATCTTACTTCAATGCTTTTTGAGAAGCCCAAATGTTTAAGAACATGTAATTTATTCAGCGTTTTATCAGATTGTTTATGTTTTTTGTTGTATTTGTTGAAGACGTTGTTACTTGGCCTGTGCCTCGACATACCACCAGGTTTTTAAATGGACGAGGTTAGAAAAGGTTCAGGATGCCCGGACAATTTGAACGGAGAGCTGTGTCATGTTTCATTGTTAGGTGGGGCAAGAATTTGCATGGTGAGAATGTGCATGTGCAAAGGTTGAGTGCATCAGTATCAGCTTTGAAACAAACATCATGGTTGAATAAAAATGATACTAAATATATATTTTTTTCTATAATAGGAATAATTTTGGGCTTGATTGCAACTCATGTAGAAAGTTGAGAACAAATCATAAAAAAAATATCAAGGACAAGTTAAATAGCACATTGGAGGCATATTTAAATAAAAGAATCCCTTTTAAGATGTAAATGCTGCTGGTATTTTGTGAATTATCTCTGAAGGAGCAATTCACTATTTTCGCAAATGACCCAATCAGGTATCCAAATAACTTAAACATTTTTCATGCTGTACATGTTTTTATTTATTAAACTTTTTTTTTTTTTTTCTTTTTTTTTTTTTAAAAAGCTAAGCACGGGAAATGGTGGGCTAAAATAAATTAAGCCTTTAAAGAATCGTCCTGCTGTTTATTTGACAGATTCTTTCCTGGGATTGAACGTACAAAAAGCTGGTCAATGTGCGTTCTCACAAAAGCACACATCCAGTGAGGCGGTGTGCTGGGTGTGGTGACAGTGAATTCAGCCGTGAGAGGTTAGCCCAGGAAATTTTACTGGATGAGTGCAATAACACAGACTACAAGGAACAGTTTATTCCCTTCATAGCATCTGGCCTGGAAATACGTTTAATGAATGCAAACTCACACAAAGACACGCAGTATGTCTAACCAGGTTTGTCATCTGCTTTAAAACAGTTTGACCATTCCTTTTTCTTGCTCCTGTTCTGTAACATTCTATCTGGATAATTTTCCACTTTAGAAGTTTTCTTCATATTTTTACCTGGTTTAGGCACAATATATATATATTCTTTTATTTTCTTGATTTTAAATCTTGAAAAACAACCCATAATGTAATGTATCATGTATTGGACTGCCGTTACTAAAGAATGAAACAGAATAATCTTTAGTGATGACATATTGCTAATTATTGGCATATGAAGTTCAATTGGTGAATTTATACGTACTGTAACTTTTAAACGGAAAAAGCAAACTTTAGCACACTAAGGCAATTAAATATAAACAATGGCAATATGTTTTATGTTAAGACTTACTTTCATGTGTCAAATGGGTTTTTAAATTAACCCTCAAAAATGGTTTTCAGATCTCATACTAATGGATTATGGGTACAAAATTTGTTTTTTTTTCAAGCTCTGAACAATTTGTCAGAGTACAAGTGGGTTTTTGTGATGTGCACATTTCTTATCTGTCTACCTTCCACTATTATCTTGGCAAAAGCCATTGCAGGCATTTCACTGAGAATGACATCACATGGACTTCAAACCTGCCACTGACCAGACACAGGAAAAAGTCTATGTTTAAACTACACCAACTTCCCTCCAATAACATTACTCATTTAAATAGGCGTGAGGTAAAGCAGCGGTTCAGTATTGAACTATCACAGACAGAATTCAAAGGATCATCAAACCCTTTTTTTTTTATCTTTATCAGTTGTTAGGGTGTAAGACTACATAGAGTTCACAAGATGAAAAGATAGATGATGGAGAGTTCAGGAATGTTTAGTAATATTTTAGGGAAAACCCAAAAATCCAGTCTTCTGTTTTCACAAAAAAAAAACATGAAGGTCTCATATTTTCACTGGACATTTTATCACTTAACCCTTTTTAGGAATGGGTTGAAAACCACCTTATCTCTAGAACTGCCCTAAGTAATTGAAGCATGTACATTTAACAAGAAATTAGTAATATTGCTTTAATAATTTTGCATTATAGCATCAAACAGTTGCATCACATTTATCTGCTGCACATCATGGTGTGAATCTCCACAACCAAAAGGTGCTCTAATCTACTGAGGTCTGGTGACTGTACAGCCCATTAGAGAACAGTGAACTCATTGTGTTGTTCAAGGAAACCAGTTTTAGATCACATAAACTCGGTGACATCGTGCATTAGCCTGCTGGAAGTACCCATCAGAAAACGGGTACATTGTCCTTGCAAAGAGATTACTGGGTGGGCCAAAGTGTGTCAAGAAAATATACTGACACCATTGCACTAGTCTGAGTCACTGTTACAAGGAAGTATATATACATGGGTTTATGCCAAATTTGCGACCAGTAACTGGGATGCTGCAGTTTAACTCAATAACTACCAGACCAAACATCATTTCTCCAGTCCTCCACTGTCCAGTTTTGTTGAGATTGTTTTAATTGTGGCTTCAACTTCAGAATATTAGTCCACCGTAGTGGTTCACATTTTTCTTAAAGTGTACCAAACCATTTTTTGATTTTCATCATACCTAGTTTAGCATGAGGATATCATGTGGGAAAAATAACCTTTCTGATGAGACACTTTGAATACAGGACTGGATTTAAACATTTGACTCAGGGATGTTTTTGTAACTAAGTTATTCAGTCATTGACTTGATTTGACTGATTTTATTTAACACTCTCATTGT